CCAGGGGCGCGTGGCCGCGCAGCACAGCCAGGTGGAGGGGGCTGCGACCCGCGCCGTCCCTGCAGGTGGGGACAGGGGCTGCAGAGGCGCTGGCACAGGGAGGGCACCCCACCTTGTTCCAGTTGGGCAGAGGGACCCTGACCCTTGCCCAGAGAAGAGACTCCTGTCCCGCCCCCGCCCCCCCCCCCCAGCCCCCACCCATGGCTCTGGAAAGGGAGCCCTTGGGCTGGACTCACCTCTCATCCACTAGGGCCCCCTGCCGCAGCAGCTGGGTCACCAGACCCGCCTGGCCCTGCCACACGGCCTGGGACAGGTGACCCCAGCCCTGCGGGCCCCGGACCCCCTCCTTCTGGTCTTCCTTGGCTAGCTCAGAGCCCAGCTCCAACCACTGCAGTTCACGCTCTAGGTCAGCCTCTGCCAAGCTCTGTGGTGTCTGCTGCTGAGGGTCATTCTGGGAAGGACAGGGGGAACCTTGCCACCGACAGAGGCCCAGAGAGCCCAGTGCAGGGTGTCCCCAGCCCAACCAGGGGTCCCAGCCAAGCCCTGGCCCTATAAAGGGTTTGCTTCCTACTTACTGGCAGAGGCAGCTGGCTCAGAGGCTCTGTTCTCCCGCCAGGGGTACTGTCTGAGCCGGGTGGCCTCTCCATTCTACTCTTCAGGAAACCCCTGTGGGCTTGAGGTGGCGGGTTGGGTCTCCGAGCTGCAGAAGGGAGGGGGCGCTCAGAGCTGGCCCCAGCTGCCTCCCACCTCACTGTTTACCCAGCAGCATAAAGGAAGGCCCAGCCTCTCTCCAAGGAAACAAAGGCCATGGGGTTGTGGAGGACAAGCAGGAACATGCCCACCTGAGGACCTGTGTTCTCCAGCTGCTCCCCACCCCCCAGCATGCCTTTGATGTGCCCCAACCTGTCCCACCCCCACCCCAGCTACCCCACAGCCCCTTCTGCACCTCTTCAGGCCCTGCTGCTGAGACCACCTAGATGGTGAGCCCGGTGTCTTTCTCAGGGCAACACAGGGACCTCCTTCTCACACAAGTGCCGCAGGACAGAGTACTGGCCACCAACCCTGGCATGAGAAAGTAGAGAGTCACCTGGTTTAGGGGTGGGGGTGGTTTGGGAGAGTAGCTTCAGGCAAGTCATCAGAAGCTTCAAAGAGACAGAGCTGGCCACTGAGGGACCAAGGGAGGGTCCTAGGAGAGCAGCCTGTGGGGCACCTTGCTTCAGCATGGTGTGTAGGGAGGCAGAGGGCTGTGACACTGCAGGGGAGAGAAGGGCCAAGCTGGGCCTTTGGGGATGGTCACCTGGTTTGGGGTCCTTGGAGTGGGTGGATGGGAACTGGCCCTGAGGCTGCCTCCCCATGCATACCCCCGGGGCCAATGGCCACCTGCCTGGAGCCAAGACCAGGCTGAACTGAGGAGAAACAGGAGACAGGGGCAGCGGGACCAACATTCTGTCTGAAGATTCCCAGGGTAACTCCTGCAGGCCCTCCCCCAGCCCGCCTCCTGTGACTGCCCACCAGGAGTAGCACAGCTTAGCATTCCCAGCTCAGGCCCCTTCGGGCCCACCAGTCTCAGGGATGTCCTGAGTGTTTGGCCCTCGGCCTCTCATCCAGAGACGGGGGCCACAGAGTCTCTGCCTCTCCCCCTCCCCAAAGGGCAGCCCTTCCCAGCGACAGACCCAAAAGGAAGCTCTCCTCTCCCTGGAAGGGCCCGCTGCACCGCAGTTACCCTGATCCCCAGAGAAGACCTTGACCGATGACGGGCCCCAGCTTTTGGCCCTGATCTCGTTTCTCTCTCAACACTTACCAGGTCTTTAAATGTGTTTGTTTATTTTATTTCTGATAGTCTAGTCTTCCTCGTTGATTGTATCTCCTAGGGCAGTCATAACAAAATACCGCAAGGTAGGTGGCCTTAAAGAATAGGACTTTATTGTCTCGCAGTTCTGGAGCGTGGCCAAGTTCAGGGTGTGGGCTCAAGAACTTTCCTTGTTTGTCTCAGCTTTGGGTGGCCCCAGGCTTGTAGCTGCACCAGTACCCGGCTGTCCTTCCTGTCTTTGTCTGTGTCTCTTCTCTTCTTTACAAGGACACTGTGGTGATGGGATTAGGTGACCAGATGTTAACATTGGTAAAGCGGGACACCATTGATAAAACTCATATCCTGGCGAAATAGCCACATGGCAGCCAAAAACCGGATACCCTAGCTTGTCGTGCATCCTTTCAAAAAATCGCGACTTTAAAAAAAAATCATTTTATTAGGGGCTCATACAACTCTTATCACAATC